ACAATTTCACAAGATTAAACAATTTCATGAAAAAATTTCATAAGATTAAACAATGAAATCGACAGATGAAGGTGGTTTRYAYGGTTTACACAAATGAGGGCGGTTTTCATATGATTACTCCTCTCTCTCTCTCTATATATATATATATATATATATATCACATGATTAGATGAAATGACAAAGGAAAGACCCACAAAACCCTCTATATATATATATATATATATATATATATATATATATATATATATATCACATGATTAGATGAAATGACAAAGAAAAGACCCACAAAACCCTCCTATGTTAAGTGCAAATGTGTCTTTTGAATATAATAGTGTTAGAAAAAATAAACTTAATGAAGAAAAAATACATCAAAAACATAAGGTACATAAAATTGCAAAATTGATCTAATAAATATATCATACTTTTTCTAACTCTTTCTTTTCTTCCCCTTAGAATCGACATTCCCGTTAGCAGCAATCGGAGTGTTGTCATCTCCGTTTGCTGTATCTGCTTTCTTCTGCTTCCCTCTTTTTGCATCGGCATTCCCATTAGCAGCAAACGGAGTGATAACTCCGTTTGCTGTATCAATTTTCTTTCGCTTCACTCCTTTTGGCTCCACGGGGCTGCTACGGTACAAAACGTTAGAAATTAAACATAACCCCTCATTCTACCAAGAATTAGAGCATCTCCATCAGCTATGCTAAAATAGCAAGTTTTGAAGATTTAGGATTTTTTTTGCTCCAACAGCTATGCTAAAATAGAGAAAAGACGAAAAAGATAAGGTGGATATTTTATTAATATAGTTGATGTCAGAATTGCTAAAATAAAGTAGCTATTGGAGTTAGATGTAAATTTTTTTAGAGATTTTTAACTTTTCATACTCTATTATGGAAACTATAGAATAGCTGTTGGAGATGCTCTTCAAGGTTTAGAACTGTTATTTTAACCATAATTTAATTAATTAAAAAGTGTAACAATTGCGTATTTCTAAACACGTGTGCCTTTTTCATTGTAGACATTTATTTTGGTATACGTATAAGTTGGTCATCAGCAATCCAAGTAAACCCAATATTTTTTTTGTAACCGTGTGTGTCTGTGTCTGGGTCAGCTTGCATGTATCTCGACTAATCTCATACTCATAGCCCCCTGAAGTTAACATCCAGTCAAACCCTTCCATAGCCTTAAAGAAACACTAACCGATGACCACCGAAACAAACTTGATGTCTTATCAGTTAAGCTACTACTCTAAAGTTTTAAAGCCAATATGTTTATTGTGAAGTATAACACATCAAGTTTACCATTAAGCAACAAAATTTTCCATGTTATTGAACTTACATTAGGTAATAATCACTCCCACTGTCTCAAAATAAATTTCCACATATTTATCTTAGTTTAACCCAAGATTGGCGTCCATATTTCTATCTTAATTTATCCCAAAATAAGCGTCCCTGTTTCTATCTTAGGTTATCCCAAAATAAGTATGCACTTATAAAAGGAAAGGGCCGTTTACCAAATGCTAACCAGGTAAGCGCTTACTGGCAAGAATCACCACCCACTCTTACCTTGTCCAGTAACTTTTTCATCCATCAAAATGGATTATTTGCAAGCATCTCGTACCGAGTAAAACGCTAACCATATAAGTGTCTTCTCCCTCACTTACCGGATAAGTACGTCGGTAAGATAAGTGACCCCGTAAGCGTTTACCTCTTAAGCGTTTGGCAAATGGCACCCAAACACTTACCCGGTAAGCATTTAGTAAACTTTCCAATTCTACCCCTTAATTATGAGACGAACAAATTCATTACTTCCTTTATTATTATAAGGTAAATCAGTTATTTAGTTAATTAGAAAGTATAATTATACATTTCTAAAACTGTGCATCTTTTTTCATTAAGAACAGTTATTTTGGGACGGAGGGATACTAAGAAAAAGGAAAAACAAACATTCAAGTATATAATTTTCACCTTGTGGACATCTTTGAAGCAGCCTTTTCTACAACACTTCTATAGTATTGCATAAATGGGGAATTCACAGTGCCTTTTTCAAACTGCACAAAAAAACCTAAAATTCAGAAAGTTTCTTTCAACAACTCAAAAAAAAGAACAAAATTTAACTGATAAAATAGAAACAGGACCTGCAAAAACTGATCAACAGACTCATGGTCCTTTGGTGAAAAGGCCACCTCATCCCTTTTCTTCTGCACAAACTCAACATTCTGTTCTACCTGCAATAAGAACAAAAGAAACCCTCAAAAAGTGTTAATATTCTATTTAACATCAATAACTGAAAGCCTGAGACTCGAGAGAATAGTCCCGAGTCCAAAAGAAAACTAATATTAAATCACTAGAAAGATGAAGTGAATTGGGTGTGTTTGGTACGTAGGGCAGGACGGGACGGTACAAAAACTTCTTGTTACACGTTTGGAGCGACATTAGACTGAGACATGATGGCATTCGAGTGGTAACAAAATGCATTCTTTCTGTCTCCACAAAGTAGGTGGAACAAAAATGGGAAGATGGGCCAAGATTGGTAAATTACTAAACTACCCGTCCCAAAACCTTCCACAATTCTTTCACCTCTCTATCTCACTCTCCCCCATCCAGTCCCATCCACACAACAGAGATGGGGGAATAATAGTCTATTGTGAGCGGTTACTGACAGTACACTTTGAAATTTTCCGCTATTAAGTTGAGTATAAGTAGAGGCAAGTAGAACTGGGGAAGGATATGCAGAAAATTTTGGGTTCTTGTTTAGGAAGTCTAGCCTCTCAAATAGCTAGAAAATTGACAGATAGCTTACAATCAATCAGTCAGCTTCTTCTCTTTTAATCTGTTTTATCTTGTTAATTTGAGTCCAGGTCTTAGCAAAAGAGTCGTGAAAATTTAGATATCTGGTATAAGCACCTACTAAGTTCAAAGGAAGTACGCATTAATAATATTGACCAAAAACTTCGGTAGGTTCAGCGTACACATTCCATCAATGTAAAATCCCTACTGAATAGATTAGCGAACTACAAATATTAGTTGGAACAACTTTCAAGGAACTTTTGCAATACCTGGTCCATAAGTCGCTTCACCACACGCCGCAAACTCTCAACTGATGTTTTCTCATGGAACTTTCTTAGTCTGATGAGCGAAGTAGTTCCTAGCTCGGGAAATGAAATGTGATAGCTCCACTGCATAAAGTGCACAGCAAGCAGCTCGACAGCTGAATAAACACATTGCTCCATAAAGTTTTGCGATTTCAACCAAAATTTGGGGAGCTACAAGGAGGAACAACATAAATTTGTTAGATGTTAAAAGCATGAAGAATTGAAGTTGTTGCCGGTTAAAGCAAGAACACATAAACTGGAGGAGACAACAACATAGAACAAATAAGCACCCTCTAACCTTTAAATTTGATGCTAACTTAGCAGATTTTCTAGATTTACCACCCTCCTTGCTGACTTTAAAATCGAGCATATCCAACACTAATGAAGCAATAGGAATATAAATTCCACAAGAACTCGAGAGTTTGTTTAACCAATGAATGCACCTTATCCTCAAGGGCAGATATCTCGGCCCGGGAAAAAGGTGTGCTACTCCATTTATAAGTTGTATCGTGATATACAACAAAGGCTGGATATCACATTCATGTACATTTGCCGAAATGAAGAGGACCCAAATGTCAATGCATTGAGCATATTGCCAACTGTATATCTTCCTAATTGCTTCCTGCCCATAAACAGTAGGAACTTGAAATCCAACAAGAAGATTAAAAAAAGGAAAGTTTGTTTTCATGTCTTGCTTCTTATATCAAAGATGAAAACGGCTCATACCTTATTATCTTTCTGCCTTGCATGTTGTAATATATTAGCAAGTTGCTGAATGGACACAAGTGCCTTCTTACAAGATTTTTCCACATCAAGAGAGCATAAATTGACAAAGGAATCCCTAAGGAATTCAATATGTTTCGCGTCAACCGTTTCCATACTCCTGCATCGAGCAATATAGGCTTTGTATGTTTTGATAAAACAAGTGTCGAAGTAATTAGAACCAAATACAGAAACCACATCTTGTATGACAAGCGAAGAACTAGCAGACAGAGTCCCTCCACCCGTTGCCCACAACGGAACTATAATCTGCATCATACATACCATATAAAGTTCAGAGGCTATTGAGTTGGCTAAAGAAATAGAGGGTGGTTCAGGAAAAAACCCCCCAAAAATGAAAAACCGAGGAACACCCTGGTAACCATTCATATGCACATGTGCATACAAGTAATTGAAGTTGTTTCTTGGTTTTTATGCACGTGTTCATGTTATGCACATGTGCATACCGGACAAATTGCTTACAAATTATTTGTATGCACATGTGCATACAATCCAGATGAACGGTTACCAGGGTGTTTCTCGGTTTTCATTTTTTAACAGTTTTCCCCTGAACCCGACCCTAGGTAATGATCTAATATAGTTAACCAAATATACACAAAACAGATAAATAGTTCTGTTGACTATAAATAAACTACCTTGATCAGCCTGCTTAGCAAAGATGGAAAAGCAGCAAAAAATACAATAGAAGCTCTCAAGCGGGTAATGGAGAAAGCCAAGATTTCGGAGTCAGTGACCTGCTTCAAAAGAAACAATGTACTCCTCAAATAAGACTTGATCATCGGTTTCGCCTTTTTCCATCTGGGGGTATTCTTCAACTCCAATATGGACTCTTTTTTGCAAGTGGAGGAAGGAATCTTCAACAGACCCCTAAATATATTATCAGCTTCAGAAAGTATGAATGTATATATGTTGCAGAAGGTGTCACTGTCTTGAATTACTGGGCATGAGGCAGCATCAATAAAGCCAGTTTCTTCTGGTCCAAGGTGACATGCAGCTCGATATGCATTTAAAAGACCGATTAAAGCAGACTCGCTATGCTCTTCAGTAACTAGTTTACTCCACAAATTGATAGTTGAGCATGTCAACATTTTGTGCTTAGTTGTAGTAGAATCATCTAACATCATCAAATCTTCACCCGTCTCATCTTCATCAGAGTACTGTTAAAGAGGATATGTCACACATCACATCATCAACCAGCTTATCAGTAATGGCCCATTAGAGATACTAGATAGAGTGCTATATGCAATTAAGTCCATCCACATACTCTACAGAAGGGCACGCATTAGATTCTAGGTCCAGACTAAATGTTACAAACAGCCAATTTTTCAGCACCCATGTCATACTGATGCTAGATATTTGTGAATATTTATCTTATACATGCAAACATAATAAAATTTCAGAAAAATCCATTTCTGGAAAGATAACACACACGCACACACGTATATAATAAGTGGCTAAAAGCTAGGTTGTGATGCTTGGCTTCAACAGGCATAATTTATCATAGTACAGTGGGTGTCAATATTATTCAGCCATCAAACCCTGCAACACATAATAAAGGCAGTTAACAGTTGCAGGAAAATAAGAGAAAAATGCCACTAAAGAATGATCAAATCACATCTAAGGATTTTCACAAGCAGTTATCATATACTTGGAATATAATCCCGGGAGCACCTACCATTTCTCAATTCACATCTATATCTCAATATAACAAGATTTAAACATTAGCTCAGAAACCAAAACATTGAAGAACTTTGGACATCAGACCAACTACAAGACATATATTTACATAGTTACGGTAGAAGTATGTTTTAATACTATGGTCCAAATGGTATTTCTGAGGTATATGGAACCAAGATTACTAATTTTAGCAAAGGACATACCATGTGCAAAAAAGTAGAGATCTGTTGAAAGAATACAAGACTGAGGAGAAGAAACAAGCATGCATATATTGTTGCTTAATAAAAATAAATAAAAGCATTGTTTCTATCTATATCAATATTGGATCCTTGTGATGACTTTGTTTGACCACTGAAGGCAAACTTACCTCTGACTGAAGAGGCCAGGGGCAGGGGTTTAGTATATTTTCTGTGAGGCCATTCTTCATATGTTCCACCATGCATAAAGTTAAGATTGGTGTTTTATTGGTTTTAAATCATTTGTCATATCATGTTTCATATAATATAGCACATATATGCATTAATATGCCCTGTGCACAAATCACAATAAATAAAAAAATGCTAACAATTTTTTTTTGACAAGTGACAGAACCGTATGAAACGTTATAGCAACAACCACGCTGCATTCCATCATTCTGTTAGTAATAAGTAATCAACATAAAAATCATCTTAAAGAAGATCTCTTACCATCTCCTGATTTTGAGATATCTCGCCCTTATTGTAGCTTTCCAAAAACTTAACAAACTTCTTATCCTGAAAAATATACAAATGCTTTTAGAACACAAACATCAAAAGATTTCTACTTTTATCAACTGCAGTGCAAAAGACCATAAGCATAGAATAATGATAAAACCTACGATAAGACGTTAAGCTAATCTCATCATAAACAACTTGATCAACAAAATGTAGGCATGGTGTATAGCCTACATATAACATATGTCAGTGAAGGACTATAACAAGTACGTTGAATACGTTGATTAGAATATGTAAATTCACCAAGAAGAGATGGTTAGAAGAAGGTAGAGGTTGAGGAAGTAAGGACTGATTTATGCCAAAAGAAATGTAAATGGAAGGGAGTTGGTGAATGATATAACTCAAGTTCCAAGAACCGTAAGGGAGCTTTCACCTATTTATGTACGCTATTATTGTAGTTATTGTAGCTACTTCCAAATTGCACTTCAGAAGGAAATAGCAACGAAAAACATAACAAGATAAAAATCCCGTGTTCGGAATTCATGGAAATGGAAAGCTAATCAATGGCTATAGCATAATTTTTCTTAATCTAAAATGAGATATGAGCAAACTTATTCCTCAATTAACATTTACAACTAAAACAGGAAAAATAATAATACTCAAAAGAAAGTCATTCAGAGTAGCTCCTGAGAACATTCCTAGTGCTTCATTTTGGAAAAAATAAACTCACTTTTTTCTTCAACTTTTCCAATGAATTCTTCTGCTTTGCAAGTTCTTCATAGATCTTTTGATTGTGAGGAGATAAAGCACGTTCATCCCTGTCATCTACATAGATGTTAACCAGTTAAAAAAACAGAATATGAAAGGTAAGGAATTAAGATACGGGGAGAAAAGATGGCACTCAAGTGAGCAGGTTGAACATAGTGGCAAGGGAACAAAAAAGAAACACTAGGCTTGAAGAGATGGTGAAAAGAAGAAGTTACTAACCTTCTAAAGGAACATCATTGTCATTTCCGGAGAGCTTTTCACAGTTTGGGTCCTAATTATTATATATGATACAAAAGTAAGCCTATAAAAGTTTTCAGTATCAATAAAAACACTGCAAAGAGAGTTAAGTCTTTAACCTCTGAAAGATACCCATCACTATCAGAATCATCTGAAACAATGATATTGTCATCCTCAGCAAATAGTACATCAAGTGAAGTAGTCACAGTGACTTCCCTTTCAGAATCCCTGTATTTAAAACACAGATTATTTAAGATAGTATAACATCAAAATACATTTATCTCCTCGTTGATCATGAACTGCTGTATGCATTTTTATAACATAAAGGTGTTGACTATTGAGATTAGAGTAGAGGTGCCATAGGCTTTTGAGTTTAAGCTTCTGGGTGGTTGTTCTACATTGGACCTAGTTGCTAAGACCACTAAAAGAATTAAAAGTAAAGACATACTTTGTTACCAGTGTGATTTGTATAACAGTAGAACTTGCAATCCAATTAACCAAAGAAGCAGTTAAAACTTAAATAGTTAGAAAGTGAAACCCCGACAATCAGATCAAGGTAAGTTTTAACAACCAAAGAAATGGACCAAAACAGTAACAAAAATTTACAAGATACTGTAGGCAAAAACATAAGTATTATACGGCCTTGCAATTACTCATAATATGAACGGAACGGCTCAAGATTGCCACAGATGATCAATTTAAACTTCGACTGCAAATGGACATAGAAAGAACGGAAAGGACAAAATGGTAAATCCCTATGTGATGAAGCGATCATTGGTCTAAAAAAGCTCAAGCAGGCAACAAGAAGATAAAGGAAAATTTCAATAAACCAAGAAATACACTTCTCAAGGAAAAATGAATGGTAACCAAGGTTTTCTTAAATACCATAAGTTCATCATTTTACCTTCCATTAGACAACTCTGCTGTTTTCACTACTTCTTTTTCCACAGCATCTTTTGTATCTTCTGCAGCAATACATTAAAGCATGAGTTATTGATGCCTATCAGATGCTATTATGACCTGAGAGTCTAATATCATTCTGCAGAGAGTTATTAATCCACATGAACAACAATCTAGTCCAGTGCAAATTTTCAGGCCATCATGGCCATACATATAAAGAAACACTATAAAAATGCCATCTCAGGGCCTATAAAGAATCTAATGGCATGTAGAGAAAACACTCATGGAGTCCAACTGCATACAAGCTAGACACAAACGGAAGAGCCAACACTTTGGACTCACCTTCATTCTCACAAGTAATACAAAATTACAGATTCATCAAATGAAACAAACATTGCATTTCTTAACTATAACGAAGAACAACAAAACTATATTCAATTTGTGTATTCACTGAGAAATTAAAAAGAACATTACTTTTTGAAGGTCTCTTCTTGAAGACAATCTTGTTTTTTCGTCTTTGTTTAAGCACAGACGGAAGATTCTTCTTGGCAAACTTACGAGCTTTCTTCCCAAGCTTCCCCATTACTCTTTTCAATCCAACAACTCGATTCTACAATCCAGACATAAAAATTCAATAAGCATATGATCAGATTACAACCAGATCACAAACGCACTGAGATTATTCTTCACCTGTGCAACAGAGACCGAGATTGAATGCTCCGATTAGGGTCTTTGCCAGCGTTTTTGCGGTAACCGTTTGGAAGGGTTTTAGAACCCTAGGGCATTACATTAAAACCCCTAAACTTCATCCAATCGGCTAATGCCACGTCAATGCGACTCAATTTCAGGTTTGCCCCCTAAAGAAATAGGGTTTGTCTATGATATTCGAAAAGGAAAATTACGTTTTAAGTCCCCATGGTTTGTTAAATTTGCTATTTTTGTCCTTATACTTTTGAAATTACAATTTTAATCCCTCTAATTTGCTATGAAATTGAAATCCATTCTTTTAAGTCCCTACTTCTGTCTATTTTGTGTTGAATTGTTCGAACTTTATTCACATTTTACGGACTCCTTATGGCCATTAAGCCAACCCCTTTAAAAGCCATAACTTAATAAGGCTTTGTTACACGTGATATAAGCATCTACCAGTTCAAGTGGGAATTCTTTTAATAAAACCATGCACGCCTCCGTTACCTTTTGGAAGGCCTACGCCCAATACAAACCAATAAAGCAAGCACCTTCGTGGACTGTACCTTGTTGTTTTTGTCCTTAACATTTATAATTTACTGTTATTTTCGTCCTTATGGTTTATTATTTATCATTGATTTCGTAATTTACTCAAATAATTATTAAAGTTAATTGCATCTTTAGTCTAGCGTTTTTACCCATTTTCTTTTAATAGGTCCTTACCCTTTTTTTCTAAACACCTTTATGATATGCAAAAAATGATTAGTTTTAGTTTTTATGGGATTTTTTGGCAGTTGATGGATGGTTTGATATAAAATAATTAAGTGATCAGAATGATTAATAGACTTTTATAATATAATGCAAAATAAAATATAATTGTTTGGTAATTATTCAGAATGAAATTAGGGTGTTGAATGGTTAATGAAGGTTCAAGATACAAAATCATTCGGAGAGTTTTGGAATCATTAAAAGACAGACTTTTTTTTTACCAAACAAGATTCACCTCTTAATAAAATATTAAAAGATATACAGATAACCCATAAATAGAGTTAAAAATTCCATCAAATGATGAGCAATTTAGACTTTTCTCAATTTCTTTTATGCATCTTTTAAAGGGTAAAAAACTTTATATCAAGAAATTTAAAAGAAAAAAACAAATAACGTCCTCACACCTCATCGGTGTGCATTGCAACTCAGTTAGCAAAGGGATAAAACAACTTTCCTAAAATACCCACGTCCAAGTTCGAACGTGCTAAAACCTCTTCGCTACTCTAAGCCGCTTTTCTTGTACTTTAGTTCCTACGAGACAGGTTCCATGTAGGGCCGGTCACATCACCACTAATTAATATTTTTCCTCAAAGAAAAAGACAAATTAAATAATGTAAAAAATTTAGGCTGTCAAAACAAATGATTATTAAACCTATAACTGTTAAGTTCACCCGTGAACTTTATAGAATTATACATATATATATATATATATATATATATATGTGTGTGTGTGTATGTATATATATATATATGTGTGTGTATGTATATATTGTGAGTTTGTGTTTGGAAAGCAGTAGGAGAGAGAATGGAGATGAAGGGATTATTGAAGATTATGGTGGTGGTGGTGATGGTGATGGGTGGTTGTAGGGGAGATGTGAACTCCTTCAGAGATTGCTATGCCAAATGCTTTATTTTCTGTATGATTGAACCCAATAAAAGTCTATGCACCTGCACAACTCAATGCCTCAAAGAATGCATCTTTCCATCTCTTCCATCTGCCATTGATCAACACTCACAAAACCTTGCTTATTGCAAGCTTGGATGTGCCACTTCTATGTGTTCCAACATCAGCAAAACACACAATCCAGGTATACATACATACATATATATATATATATATATATATATATATATATGGGTTGGGTTATGGTGAGAAGAAAGTTACAATAAGAAGAGTAAGAAGTGATCTCCAGTCATGAATCAATGTTAATTGAATGTCAATACTAAGGAGATGCACCGGGTACATTCCCTTAGAAAACGTAAGTCATGGGTGGGCATGGAATTAAAAGTGATCAACGGTTCAGATCTTTTCTTATGTTTCTAACTTTTAACTTTTTTTCTCACATAATCCTTTTGCTTACTGTATATAGGGGTCAGGTTCAGAAAAACCCGTAAAAAAATAAAAAACTGAAGAACACTCTAGTAACTGTTCATTTATAAGTAATCTATAAGTAATTTTATTGATATGCGTAACACGCACACGTGCATAGAAACCAAGAAACATCTTTACTTGTATGAACATGTGTATACGGCACAAATGAACGGTTATTACGATATTCCTCAGTTTTTTATTTTCTGGGGTTTTCCCTTGAAACCCCTCTCTCTCTCTCTCTCTATATATATATATATATATATATTGATATAGGTGTATTGATGCATGTATATTGTATAGTTTCAGTGAGTATGCACTTGCATATATGGTGTATATATATATATATATATATATATATATCATACATATTTATGAGTGTATATACATATACAAGGAGGTTCAAGTAAGAAACACAAAAGGTTAAGAACGTAAGAATAAATGATCCATATGCCACTCAATAGTAAAAGGAAACTTAGGTTAACATATGCATCTTCACATGTGAATAATCGGTAAAAAGATAGGTAGGTGAATGTGGGTTCGCATACACATGTTATAGGTAGGTGAATGTGGGTTCGCATACACATGTTAAAAGGGAATCTTTTTTCCAGTTTATCAATGATTCATATATGAATAATTTATTCTTAGATATTATCATCTTCATTATATTAATTTTAGAGAAATACATGAAACAGTTTCATTAAAATTTCATAAGTATTATATGAAACAATTTCATAACCATATATGAAACAACTTTATCAAATAAAATATTATATGAAACAATTTCATAAGATTAAACAATCAAATCGACATATAAAGGTGGTTTGCACGGTTTATATAAATATGGGTTGTTTGCTTTTAATCTCTCCTCTTCTTTCTCTCTCTCTCTCTCTCTCTCTCTCTCTCTATATATATATATATATATATATCGTTTTGATTTTTCGAATTAACATGTATAACATTTTTGTATACAGATGGAAAGAACATGGAGAGTTGTGTGGGATCATGTTCAAACAAGTGCACCATGAGCTACTCATCTTCATCACCTTGACTTGAATTTGATTTTATTGTTTCGAAAATGTATTGTTTTGTCGTTATTTTCGTATCATTCAGTATTTGAGATTTAACTGCGACATTTTATTTGTATGTGGTTCGAACAGTGTTAGATTGACTTATTCAATTCAGTTCGATATGGTTTTGTTGTTAGTTGCACCCCCTCTCTCTATATATATCCCCAATTTAATCTAATTCGAATGAAGGACTCAATAAGATCCCAAATACATTTTTTATAATAAATATGATATCTGACGTCTTAAAAAAAGATCTACATACATCTTATCCCTAAATATGAACCGTTTGTGGAATATACATGTTCCATTCGACATGTTAACCTAAAGATTGAGCTTAAAAGACCTTTTAAATTAAAGGTTGAGTATGTTTGTTGGCAGCTTAATGATACTAACAGTTATTCAGTCAGCTATACATGATTGTTTAATAATGGTTTAATGATATAGGAAGTGATTCATTCAGTAAGTTTTTAGGGGGAAGCTTTATGCAAGCAACCGAGTTTTTTTCCAAACATTCACATCTCAATTAAAAAACACGCTCCTTTCATTTTTTTAAAAACATTCACAGATAAAAATATTCTCAATTTATACAGACAGATTAATTCACACAGACAACTTTATTTACATAGGACTTAATGAAAAACTAATCAAACAACCCCTTCTACATTTTTGAATATATGTATATAATGTGAGAATTGAAGTTACGGTGAGAAACGTAAAAAAAGATCTAAACTCTTGATCGCTCTTATCTCATGTCTAATCATGAATTGTGCCTTAGAAGGGAATCGATCCGGTGTACCCTATTAGTGTTGACATTCGATTAATCAAAAGATGATGATCTTTTTTTACGCTTCTCACCATAACTTTCCTTCTCACTGGACCCAATCCTATAAAATTATAAATATACATACATATATGTATAAAATATGTATAGCGAGAAGCGAAAGAAAAAAATTTCACTCTTGGATTAATCCTAATTGAATGTCAACACTGACGGGTGCACCGAGATGTACCAAACCAATTGACTTCTAAAACGTAATTCATGAGTAGAAATGAAATTAAAAATAATCAATGGTTCATATCTCTTCTTACGTTTCTCATCTTAACTATATATATATATATAATGTGTTTACATTGTCGTTATTTGACCCGTGAAGCCTACAAAATGACAGCATGTGATGAAAACCAGAGGTCCCAAGAACACACGGACTCGATTTTACCCAATCTAATTTTTTCCTTTTTTGAGACTAAAGTAATCACGCAACCTACTTAGAAAAATGAGTTATATCACTTCCTGTGGATTTTTTTTAGTATATAATATTTATATACAATAAATATAATAAATAAACTTACACACTCTTCTCACCTTTGGTGAAGTTTGAATCTTTGACCTTCTAGAAGGCCAAAGACTCACATACCGTTACGTCAAAGACCCTTTGATTCTACGGATTCTTTAAAAATAAGAAAATTGAAAATTTTAGAGATTTTGAATTGATTCTTTTGGTTTATCAGATTTTTCAAAAATTTCTATTAAATTCTCTAAATTTAGATAACTTTTTAAAAAATAATTGTTTAAACATCTTAATCATTCTATACCAAACCATTCAATAACTGTTAAACAGCCCAGGAAACAATATGTAAACTTTCAAATATAAAACATGAAATGGAAGAGGCTAATCCAATGCAAATACAACTTTCAATGCTTGATGTTACTTGAACAAAAGATTATTGCTTTGTACTTTGACCATTTTACCCCTTGCAAAAAAGAAAAGCTTGATAACATCATTACAAACAATTAGATGAAGAAAAAACTATGATTTATGTCATATCTCACACCCATACCATATAAAATGTCACAAACAAAAATCACCTCAAAAAGAATATTGATTAAACACCTACAGAGTAGTAGAAGAAGTAGTAGTAACTCACTACCAAACTCAAGTGAAGCTCAAATCTATATCAGATGTCCGCATCATAAAATCCGAAGCGCTACAAAATTACACCATGCTCCTATCAGACACTCGATCCTGAAAAAGAAAGTTTCCAATTAGGAGTCGTCAAAACAACTGAGGAGCACCTTGATAACCATTCGTTTGGATGGTATACACGTGCATAAAAACCAAGAAAGAGCTTCAATTACTTGTATGCACATGTATATACGTACAAAGTAACAGTTATTAGGGTGTTCCTTAGTTTTTCATTTATTAGGGGTTTTAGACAAAGGATCGTGTAAGAATGGAAGTTACTGTGAGAAGTGTAACCCTTTTATCACTTTTAATCTCACTCCCACCCATGAATTGCGCATATCACGGGAATTGATCCGGTGCACCTCCGTGCTCCGCATTACTGTTGGTCTTCGATTAGGATTGATCCCAAGGGTGGTACCCTTCTCACCATAACTTCCATTCTCACCGGAACTAAACCCTATATATATAGGGTTAGGTTCAAGGAAAACCGTAAAAAAATTGAAAAACTGAAAAACTCCCTATAACCGTTTATCTGTATGGTATGCATACAAGTAATTTGTCCTGTATGCACATTTGTATAACACGCACACGTGCATAGAAACCATGAAACATCTTCAAATGCTTGTATGCAGATGTGCATACTGTACAGATGAATAGTTATATTGTTCCTCGGTTTTTCATTTTTTTGGGGTTTTTTTGATACAAAGAGGATCAAAGAGTTAACAGGGTTTTTCGTTTATACATGGAAAAGAAGCTCCAAACAAGCCCAAATACCCATATCAAAAGCTGAAACACAGTCGCTTATATGATTTCTCCCGCAAAAGGAATTAAGAGAAAGGAGTTCGAGCATTATTCATACCTCACTCCTCGTCCGCCTCATTACCGTTAACGAGTACTGCACCATCTGTAGAATCATTATCTATTGCAACATCTTTTTGGCCTTCATTTTGAATCACTTCTTGACTGTCAACAAATTCCCCCACCTTCCCATTCTGTTCCAAACCCTGTGCAAGAAAGGCAATGAGAAGAAGAATGTAAGATAACAGAAATAACTTGCAACGACGTCCCTCTGTTGATGGATGAAGCAAAACATTTAAAAAGAACTCGTCTCTTTTATTAGTGAAGTTAAGCAAATTCCATAAATATCATTATAGACGAAGGATCGTGTCATAATAGGAGATAAGGTGAGAAGCGTAAGAAGGGATCTGGAACCTTGATCATTTTTATTTAGTGTTGATCTAATGTTTCAGATTAAGTCCCAAAATAACCTATGAATTAGCTTAGAAGAGTATTTTGTATTGATCTTCAATGGATTGATCCAAGGCTAGAGATCCCTTCTGACCCTTCTTATGATAGCTACTATTCTTACCGGAAACCAACTCTATCATTATCTCAGACAATGGTTTTACTCCCTCGACCCCAAAATTAGTGTCCATATTTCTATTTTATTTTGTCCCAGAACAAGTGTCCACTTTCAAAAGTAAGTGTCTACTTCCCATTTTTATCCTTATGGATTGGAGATATTCATTAGCCCCTCTATTATTAAGAGTATAACTGACATTTACTCATTTAATTAATTAGAAAGGAGTAAATTATGATTTTCGTCCCTGTGATTTAGAAATTGCGATTTCATCCCTATGGTTTGTAATTCATTGCTATTTTTGTCCCTGGGCTAATTCCCACCTTTAAATATAAGGGGCCAGAACAGTAAACAATTCTAAACCACAGGGACCGAAACAACAATAAGTTGTAAATCATAAGGATGAAAATAGCAATGAATTACAAACTATAAGGACGAAAACGCAATTTCTAAACCATAGGGACGAAAACCACAACTTTCAGCAAACCGCAGGGAAGCAAAACGTAATTTAGGGCATGTTTGTTAGCAGCTTAATGGGACTCAATTTATTCAGTTAGCTATACATGATCGTTTGGTAGTGGCTTAACGATATAGAAAGTGACTTATTCACTAAGCTTCTAGGTGTATCTTTATGCAGAAAGCCAAGTTTTTTCCCAAATCTGCCCCTCCCAATTAAAAAATATGCTCCTTCCATCTATGAAAAACCTCCCAAACAAAAACCTTCTGAATCTATACATACAGATTAATCAACACAGACAACTTTATACATACAAGACTTGATGGAAAATCAACCAAACAGCCCCTTAGTCAATGAAAAGTGTAATAATTACATATTTATAAGATCGTGTGCCTTTTTCATGGGAAATTTACATAAATAGCCAAAGCTGATAGGTGGTTTCACTTTTTAACCATTTTCTAACCCAAATTAATTTTTCATACAATCTGCAGAAGGCTTACGTATATACGTAAGGATTGGTTTTCAGCCAAAAAAAAATACTTCCGCATATGCGTGAGGATTCCACTTTATGTGCAAGGATTCTTATTTTTGGCTGAAAACCAATCCCTACACATTGTGTAAGCCTTCTACGTAAGGATTGGCTAAAAAGTGAATTTGGGTCAGAAAATGGCTAAAAAGCGAAACCTTATTTGCCGATTGGCTATTTCTGTCAATTTCCCTTTTTCATTGTGAACATTTATCATGGAACGGAGGGAGTAAATGTCAAGATCAAGTGATATTCAATGGTCAAGAGTCAATACGAGATCCTTGGTCAGCAGAAGGATATGAGCATAACATGGCATTTTCTTCACATAAAAAAGACTAAATAAAAGATGTATATATAATATCAAAATTAGACTTCTTTGTCGAAGAGAAACATTAGTAGGACGGGAATTACCTCATGATCCAACCCTCCATTTTCCAGTGGTTCCTCGATGTCCAATTGCATGTTTCTGAAAGCCTCCACTAGGTTGACATGCGGTCTGTCAACATAGTTCACATACTCTGCTGCTGGAGGATAACTACCCCTACAAAACCATTTGGAGGAACGTTATTTGTCAATATAGCATCAGATTCATGACTATCATATTAATGATTTACTTGTTCTTCAGCGTAAGAAAACATGAGAACCCTAGAAATACTAACATGTACATCAGTACACAGTTCATATACTCAGCCACCATACTTCAAAGTTCTAAAAACACAACTAGATGAATGTTATTCGCCCAATTTGGAAAGAAATATAACACTAAACTCATCATTCAACGCAGCTAATCCTGCCGTGGAGATATTATCATTAAACTTAGGGGTCGTTTGGTTCACGGAATTCGGAGGAATATGAATGGCAAATTCGGCCAAGTTCCATACATTTGTTAGGTCCAGTTCTTGAAATTGATGGAATCCTTTAAATTCCTTTGAATTCCACAAATTAATGAATTCATCATTCATGGGCATCGGTGAAGGAATGGAATTCCATCCCTTTGTATCCAATTTAACCAACACCGCCCACCCCCTACCCCACCACGACCATGCTACTATTGTCACTGTTACTCCCCCTCCCCTAACCCTTGCTTCCCCCTCCACCCACGTGGGTGGGTGGTGCTGTGACAACGATGGTAATGGCATGGTGGTGGTGGGTGGGGTGGGGGTTGGATGCCCGGGGTGGGGTGGTAGTTGTGACGACGAATATTGGTATGGTGGTTGGTGGGGAGGGTTGGGGAGTGGGCACCCACCCGCCACCACCCACCACCAATACCACAATTGTCGTCGTCATAATTGCCAATTCTTTTGAGAGATTCCATTTCGATTCCTGCCAACCAAACGCGTGGTCAAATTCCATTCCAATTCCCTCAAAGTCAAATTCCATTGACGGATTCCAATTCCACCAAATTCAATTCTGCAAACCGAACGCTCCCTTAAGTTCACAAGAGGAGCTTAAAAAAGTGTATTCCACCAAAGAAAGAGAAGAGTACTATAACAAGGAAAACAATGAAACCTTGTCTCTGCTGCCCGTGCTTCAACCTCAAGTGCAACTTGCCAGTCCTCAAACATATTTGGGTACTCTTCGGGATCTGCTAAAGAGTCGGCAGCTTTCTGGTTAACCTGCAGTTAAAGAATGTCAAACCACTTGCCCAATATAATCATAATTTTGATATACAAGTACTCTAAATAGAAGTTGAAAATAATTGGTGTGAATCATGATGAACAAATAACATGAAAAACTCAAATTGATACCACAACAGGCAAGATATACAAGGCTTTCTGAAGCTTGCCTAACGGTAATATTAAAACCTGCCTAGTGCCTATATTAATTCTCATGAATGCGATTTTAAAGTTCTAAAATAATTCATCCAATTGACTGACAAATATGATTATATAAGTTTAACAAAATCTCAAATCATCCGCCCTTCAAGGGCGCGTTTGGTATATTGGACAGGACAAAATAAAGGTCATTGTTCCACGTTTGGCAGGACTTCTATGTGGAACAGAAGGGAACATAGTAAAACAAAGTGAAACAGGCGTACGCCACTCCCACTCCATGGAACAAGGTGGAAGAACCCTATATTCTACCAATATAACCTTAAAATAAAACCTAGTTCTCTTCTAAAACATATAATACGACCCCCTCTTTACATTTTATTCATTTTTTACAAATTTTATTTATTGTATTTTATGTTTTTTAAACTTTCATTTTACGGTCCTCAAAATATTATTTTTATAAGGTTTCTATATTTTGGTTAATTTATGTAATTTATTAGATATTAATAATAAAAAATAATCATCCAGTTAATGTATAAAATAAAAAAGAAAGCTACATAAACTTTTTATTTGGGTGTCATTTTAATCGTCTTGACGAAAACTTTCTAATGATATAATTATGTTATAAAAATATTTATTTTATTATAACTAGTGTTTGACATCGCGCGTTGCACGATGACGATAAATTTTTTAAAAATTTATTGAAATTAGCTAAATGAGTCGATGATCACATTTATATATTAAACTAATAAGAATCAATATTACCTTTGATATATGAATCTAACTTATCATTATTGGTTATTCTTTTAATATATTATATTTATATATACTTTGATATATGAATCTAACTTATCATTATTGGTTGTTCTTTTAATGTTATATATATATATATAAAATTATTAAGTCTTATATATCAATTTTTATTATATCAAACTTTGTAATTGGTTCAAAATCATAAAAAAAATATGTGAAGATATTGATTATAATCATGAGGTGTATTAAGAGAATTATTTTACCATAATACATATCAATTTATTTTCTACATATATTCTCATAAAATATTTATATTCACCAAGCAATAATTGTGTTGTTATTTACATGGGCAAATTGCATGAAAAAGTAATGTACTTTAACTTGATTCCTATTTTGGGTAACGTACTTTCAAAACTTCCATTTTGGTACTTAAGATGTAAAGTTTTAAACATTTAAGTACCCGGGTAACTGGTTGAAGTATTAACCGATTATCATGTTGATGTGTCGAGTGATGTGGTATCCAACTCGGAATTATTTGCTGACCTGGTCAATGACGTGGATTTTTTTAAATCTAAAATTAGTCTTTTTTTAGTCTAAAATTAGTCTTCACTGGGTTACCCGACACATCAACATGATAATCGGTTAATACTACAACCAGTTACCCGGGTACTTAAATGTTTAAAACTTTACATCTTAGGTACCAAAATGAAAGTTTTGGAAGTACGTTACCCAAAATAGGAATCAAGTTAAAGTACGTTACTTTTTCATGCAATTTGCTCTATCAATAGGTACCAAAATGAAAGTTTTGGAAGTACGTTACCCAAAATAGGAATCAAGTTAAAGTACGTTACTTTTTCATGCAATTTGCCCTATTTACATTGATATAATTGTTGAATATTTTTGCAATTTGCTTATATTAGTTCATGATATACTCATTTGCAACATTGGTCAAGAAACTCACTGAAACCATTTTTTTCCTACATGTTATTGCATAAAGTGAAAATAATAGCTAGTATTATGACCAGTCTATATATATAAGAGTCTGATTGATTTGTTATTTTTTCATTTGACTTGTTCAAGCTTTTTAGATTTGTTTTAGACAGTTCATAGTTTGGTTTATCTATAAAAAAATTCTGAAAATAGAGGTTTTAATAAAATTATGTAAAATAAAATATATGTATTATATTGAATTTCATATTTTAAGTATAGGGATGGAAAAGTCTTTTACATAATATCAAATATTTTAAAAAAATCAAAACTCTAAGAAAAAAATGGGTTTCTAATGTTTAAAGGATAACACCTCATTATGTTTGGTTTCTTCTTTAAGAATTAAAAATATTAGAAAATAATTTTCAAGCTCAATGCTATTAAAAGAATAAAAAAATCACAATAGACCGATCAAAATCAACAAAAACTCATATCATATTTGTTTTCATGAATGACGCCTCAAATCAACAGAAAAACAAATCATATCCACAAAAACTGAATAAAGAAGAAGGATTGGGAGATTAAAAGAGATTATTATGTTAAACAATGTTACCTTATTTCATCAAAGATTCATATGCCACTTTATCCACACAAAAAAAAAATTATATGCCTACATAATTCCAACTTTAGTGCGAATTCTCCGACTAAAAGACGAAATACTATATTTACATAAGAAAAAACTCATAATATGATTTGTCTTATTGAATGACGCCTCAAATCAACAAAAATGCAAGTCACCTCCACAAAATTATAACTGAATAGAGAGGAAGAATTGAGAGATTAATAGAGAGATTCATATGTTTGTATAATTCAAATTTTAGTGTGAATATCTCCAATTAAAAGACAAAAATACTATACTTACATTAACAAAAACCCATATCATATTTATCTTATTGAATGACGCCTCAAATAAACAAAAATGCAAATCACCTCAAAAAACTAAATAGAGAGGAAGAATTGAGATGTTTTTTTTTTCTTAAACAATGTTACACTATTTCTTCACGGATTCATGTCACTTTATCCACACACAAAAACTCCATATGCCTACATAATTCCAACTTTAATGTGAATATTTCCGACTAAAAAAAGAAATATTATACTTACATAAGCAAAAACTCATACTATGATTTGTCTTATTGAATGACACCTCAAATCAACAAAAATGCAAATTGCCTTCCACAAATTTATAATTGAATAGAGAGGAAGAATTGAGAGATTAATAGAGAGATTATCATAGAGGTGTACCACAAAATTATACATGAATAGAGAGGAAGAATTGARAGATTAATAGAGAGGTTATCATAGAGATGTACCACAAAATTATACATGAATAGAGATGAAGAATTGAGAGATTATTATAGAGGTGTACTATGWAGAGAAGATGAAAAATTATAACCGAATAGAGAGAAATAATGAGAGTTAAAAGAGTACTTATTAGAGGGAACATGAATAGGTTGAAACAACCTAATTAAAGGATCTTAAATGTGAATATGAAACATAAAAAACAAAAATTAAGAGAGGAGAAGCTTGAGAAAAAGGAGAAAAAAGATAAATCATTTTCTTGTTTTGAGAAGAGGCCACGTCATTACTTGTGGTTTCTTCTTTAATATATATATATAGATTCAATAAATTGATCAAAATATAAAAAAGATATAAACAGTTGATTAGGGGTAAATTGGTTATCTTTATCTATTCTGTCTTTTTCCAGTTTTGGCATACCAAATGCTGAACAACTGTTTTGTCTTGTTCTATTCAGTTCTAACATGTGCTAGCTTGTCTGAATATCAGATGCACCCTTAAAGAACCATAATGCATTGGGTTACAGAGCAAAGGATGTTTGAAGACTTATGTACTAGAATTATGTCAACTTCTATATGTGAACAAAACAACTGGACAGAAAAATGAATGTAAAAGAACAGATGATTAAAATACTAGGGTTTCAGAATTAACCTTGTTAAGGTCTTTTCTCCAAATGGCAACTATTTCTGAAACCTTGCTGGGAAGATAAGACCGTGCCATTAGAGCAGCTTCAGGTATCCGGTTGCTGCAAAGACGGTGAACTTCAGAAATTTTATATTATGGCCAACTACATAAGGCTCTTGGATCTATTTATGGAATGCCATGACTAACCTATCAACCAACAGCTGTAGGCAGTCTTCCAATTTACCGAGCATAAACAGACAAGCAAATGCAACATTGTTCTTTCCATTCTCTTTTGCAAGAGATGCAAGCTTTGCTATCTCTTCAGCATCTCCTAGAGAAGAATACAGGAGTAACAAACCACTCAAATCATTTGCATGCTTCAAACAATCCTCTGCCATGTCCAACTGCAAACGGCCAAAAGTTGTTAAAAATGATCACATCTAAAGATGTGTAAAAAGAAAAAAGGCCATGAAAGATTAAATAGTGGCATGACACCTACATGCACATGCAGAATCAATACACATCGTTTTGATCTAGGATTAGGTCCCGTTTGGTTTGTAGGATGGGATAGGATTTGGAGGGATTTGAAATTCCATTCCATTCCAATCCCATGTTTGGTTTGAAAGATTGCTAGGATTTGAAATCCCAGGATTTCATTGAAATCCCACAAAAATGGGATTTAGAAATCCCATAGGGGTTGTTGGTATTTCGCAAGATTTCACAGGATTTGTGTGTAATAATGTTTTAAAACATGTTGGAAATATTTGTTTTATAATAATCGAGTAATTAAAAGGTAATTTAATCATTTTCATAATTATTTATTGTTTCTATAAATTATTTATAAAGGGTGGAATTCAATACCATTCCAAATCCTACAAACCAAACACACCAAAGATTCCAAAGCCTTCCACGATATCCGAATCCATCAAACCAACCCCCCCCCCCCACACACACAAGGGGTTTATATGTGCTCTAAAGATAGAAAAAGAAATAAAAATCTACTTCCTATGAAGTAAAAAGATAATCCCGATAGGTTAATTGCAGGTCGTCCCAGGGTCATTTTTATGGAAGAATCAAGATCCAAGTTAGGAAATTACCAATCCAGCAGACATGGCTAATTCACCCAATTGCTTCCATTTTGACTCGTTCTCTGCTACTAGAGCGATATCCTGCATGCACGAATAAAAGAAAGTTGTCATCATGATGACAAATGGATCAGGAAGTACAAAAACATCTTGATAAATAATGGGAGAACAGGGTGCTCAAATTCTCTCTTCAATCATAAATTAACACCCATCTTTCCTTCAAAATAAAAGGGGCAAAAAGCTATTACCTTAGCGATGTCGAGTTTACCAAGCTGGATGGCCAACTCAAATCTATAGTCAGGATCTGTAGCAACTTCCAAGGCCTCTTCAATCATACCTCGCGACTCCAGAAAACGAGCAACACTGTCAAAACAACCATATATCAAACTGAAATCCAATTTTTGCTACTAGAATATCTAAGATGCCTCCATGTCCCACAATACTTCTTAAACTAGGAAAAAGTGCATGAACATCAAAGAGAGTATGGAACCAGGGTGACCATGGGGCATGATGTTTTTGGTGATACAATCTTGTCATGTGACGTACATGAAAAATGCTTAGTACACATAAATCTAATGCAGGTACATGCATTGATTACGCATAAGAATTAAGATTTCATTAGGTTTCTGTTGGATGAGTAACTGAAATTTTCCATATGAACATAGAAGATCCTCCACAACCTAGAAGGGTATGAGACCATATGGTGCATAATCAGGATGTAAATCTTACAAGTTATACAAAGGCCATAACACAAATAAATTTCAACTTGGTAGGCTACAGGACCTGTAGCTACCATTATACATAAAGTATTGGCAACACCTTCAGCAATAAATCATATTAAACACTCTGCAAATCCTTGCAGTAAAATTTACAAGGGAGTGGTGGATTCATGTCTCTTAATTACAATGTTTGCCACGCCAGATGCAACCACAATACCACATCTACTGAAGTATATGAGACTCATGCTCCTATAGTTCTATCTAGCAATTACCTGATATATACATAATATACATTTACACACGCACATTAAAATAAAGACAAGGTAGTTATACCATGTCAATGAAGACAAAAACCAACTAAAAGGATGAGATGATACCATCGATATGAATTATAAGCTCCCACACCGAGAGTCGAGGTATAAACAAACTGATCACCCAATTTATTGAATTTTCTAATTACACAGGAACACATGAACTCTACTTATATACATTCATATACACATCCAATGGAAGCATATGAAACATGCTTATATCCAGCAATTACCTAATATCTACATTTATACACACACATACACTGAAAAAAATAGCTATACAAAGTGAATAAAGACAATGCACAACCAAAAGGATGACCGGATGGCATGGCATTGATACGAGTTATAAGCTTACACACAAAGGACCAAGGTACAAACAAACTAATCACCTAAACATGGAATATTCAAATTACACAGAAGAAGATGCTTGAACTGTACCTATTAAGATGCTCCTTTGGAATTGAGGGTAAAACACCATTAGCTCGTTCTATGTCCCCACGCATCACGAGGGTCTTATACTCGATTAAGGTGAGAAGCAAAGTGTATCCAATGACACTAAAAAGTAAAGATCCAAAAGAAAAGATTAGTAATGATGGTTACGCCAGTTCTTTACACAAAGTTAGCACCCTAAAACCAACTCACTTGAATTCTTTGTCAATGAGATAAACCCTGCTTTGATTAGCCAGATATCCTAGAAGATACATAGGTCGATCCAAATGAAACATTGTGGTTACCTGAAAAATATGTCATATCAAGTACTGATCTATAATATCAGACAAACCATGAAATTATAAGATTCCATGACACTCAACAGACTCTACCTCGCCACCAACACAATAGTTGAGTCTCCATGAAGCATTAGTGTATATAAAACAGTCCCCAACCCATAATCCAGATCTAACTCTTTCGTTTACTTCATACAGAAGTTCAAAGGACTCTTCAACACCTTGCTCATCTACAGGTATACCACTATCCAGATGTGCTGACACTACATCACGCTGCAACATGACCACACCTATCATATTAATCACACCTTTGCACAAGTATAAATAGAGAAGAAATACGATAAAAGTTGGACAGGTTATAGGATCAAGGTAAGCATATGTAGATAAGGATCTTACGTTGTATTTTAGTACGTAAAATGATGAATCACTGGAAATTGCCACCAAATCACCACTATCGGCCCAGTAGAGGTTCTGGAAATGAAAAGAGAAAAAAAACAAAAACAAAAAAGGGTAAGTTGTCTCATGCACTTATGCTGAACTGGTAAGAAACAAGGTGATACAGTGACATATAACTAAAAAAGATAAGGGACATAATTTATTACTTTGACAGTAACATCAATACGTTGAATCAATCTGCACTCAGTCCAATCATAGAAACAAATAAAATCATTTGAGCACATTGCTAGCAAAGATCCTCCACACATATGCTCAACTGAAAATGTTGGTCGGATACTCTTCTTTTCCTGATTAACAAGACCCAAAAAACGGCAGTCCAGATTAGAAAATGGAAGTTGCATTCCACAGGAATAAATAGAAAGACTGTCGATCAGACGCAGAACTCCCTTTAAAGAAATGGTATATAGTTCCCCAGCATGGTTGTGACATTTTCAAAATCAAGACTGGATAGAAAAGCCGGAAGATAAGCACATTGCTCATTAATTGAACTATTAGGCATAGGGTGAGCACAAACCTGAAAAGATTTATTAAAAATCTTGACCTTTGATGTGCTCTCTCTAACAGCATATTCACCATCTGTAGACCAAACAAACTCCAATGCAGAGCCAAACGATCTATTTCTCCATGCTAAAGCTGTATATATGATGTATTCACCGTCACCACAGACAACGACAAACCTCCCATTTGGGTTGTGCTTCAAGCTCTGAACAGAAGGGCAAGAACAACAAAGATACAACCAAATTGCAATGAATTAAAACTTTGTCAGTGGATCTGATATTCTTTTAGCCATTTACAGGTAAAACTAAGAAATATAGCCCTTCAGTGTCATGTATGCATGGGAGCTCACATGCCCATCATAAATTAGTGTATTTAATGGATCTACTTTGGTTTTGAGTTTCAGACTTCAGAGGAAACTATATGATAAACAAGCACAACTTACTTGTGGATAGAGATCACATGTTCCCAACTCTTTGACTGCCAAAGGCAATCTCTCTCCATCAGAAACCTGAGAAGTAAAGGGGAGATAAAGGTCACCTTCACAGAAGAGAACCAAAAAAGAACCATCGTTTTCCATGTCTTTCGTAGGACAACCAAGCCCAAACCTCATAATCAGCTCCCACGCTCTTGATGTTAACAGTCTGAATCTCATTATGCTTAGACCATATAACTTTCCCACTGTTATCCATACTAGCTACAGGCTCCTCCCGACCAATTTTCACCATTATGGTCCCTTCATCATATCCAAAAACGACCCTGTACAGTTGATCAATCTATTTAAAATGAGTTGGTTCTGATAAACAAAGAAGTGTCAGGTATAGTATACTCTCAGTCTCTCACAATAGATATAGTAGCATTGACAATGCCAGAGTATTTTGAACTTTCTACTCCAAATATCCACCACATAAAGATGCAAGCAATGATGAAGCATGTTTATGAACGATAAAGGAACCAGGAATACCTCGAGCAAGAGCATGACAAGAAAAAATGAATGCAATAATACAAGTGCTAAAACATTCACAATATGTAATTACAAAACATACTTACCGACGTGAACCTTTCATGTATGCAACAGACCAGACCCTTTCAAGTCCATAATTCAAGGTGTTCTCTAGTCTGCACCAGAAAATGTGAAAAGCTGAGGAACATTGAAACAGCCAGCAAATTACTCAACATGATGGAAATAAGTTCATAATTCAATAACAGTTGCAACTTATATGTCAGCAATATGTTCTATATTTGGTGGCAGTGGTACAATTAGAACTAAAATTAGCAAACAGAGTGCATAGGATAAACCAACCCAACCCAGTACATCCCACTCGAAAGTATGGTATGGGGGGGGGGGTGATATGTATGCAAATCTAACATATACGACAAAAGGGTAGAGTGGCTATTTCCATAAAGACCCCCGGTTTGTGCACGAGTGTGAGCAAACAGGTACAAGGAATAACAACTAACATATGATGAACAGAGTACAGAAAGAAGTAACAAGTAGGTACAGAGTGCATAGGATCAAGAGAGAAAGAAGATAACACCATAATATCACAGCTAACCAGAGGTTGGACCATGTTGGTGCTTAGTAGGCTTTAACATCGCATCCTTACTTGGCCTCATCCCCTCCTTTCCTTGGGTTCTATAGAATTCTCCAGGGAACTCTCCATCCTTTGTATATATTTCCTATAAATATCCCATTACGTAATTATCTTTAGGACTTGCTAGATATTTTTTTATCGTAGCTTATCCATTTAGTATAATCTCAACGTTTCATCGGGTAGTTGAGTGCTATAAATTGGGAAAACCATGTCATTTTGTACCAAACATTGAACGCAATAGAGATTTCATTCAAGCTACAGTTTCATCTCTAGTTCCCTAGGCCAAGTAAAGTACTGTTTAGTGATCTCGAAGCAGCTTCAAGTGCCAAGGTCACATAGGTAATTAGGGAAATCAATAAGCTCACAACTTAAGTTGTCTAACTCAATAGCCATGAATGACCAGACTCCCTCTATGGCTGCTAATTATCAACGTAGATTTCCAGTCATAAAATTATGGAATGCATAAACTAGGTGACTAGAACCACGCAAGTGTGTACATATAAGGCAAGATAAATAACAAGATGGGGATAGGGTGACAAATGGCAAATGCATAAAATATATATGGGTAACTAATAGTCGGATGTATACAGCCTGAGAAACACTTTATATCTAATGATGAACAAATGCAAAGATTTGTATGGAGATGGTACAATCAACCTTTATCAGCACCACAACTTGATAGTGTTCTAAATAATTAAACAATAGGTTGAGATAAAAATTTCTCTCAGTCAAGAAGAAACAAGACCTTGCACAGGAAAGATTCAAAGGTCATAAATAAGAACCTACCTATAAGTGGTTGAATGCCATATACGTACAGTACCATCCTCAGAGCCTGTAATAATTATTGGGAGCTCAGGATGAAAGCATACAGCAGAAACATTGTGTGTGTGACCTTCTAAAGTCTGGACACAAGTTTTGGTTTGATAATCCCACACCTGTTTCAAATGTTTATTAACATACATACAAATGCAGATGTCTATACAACATAATAATTGGGAAAAAAATAATGAGTGTAAGCACAAACCTTAGCAGTGTGATCATCTGATCCAGTAATAAGATAAGGTTTATCACCACCCGTGAAATAATCCACACAATTCACTCCTTTGAGATGGGCATCAAGTGTGAAGTTAGGATCAGGTGAGCCAAGATTCCAAATCTAGAATAGGAAAGATAGTGGGGCATAAACAACCCTTAGAACATCTTAGGCTGATAGATACCACAAGTATTCTTAAAATTACCTTTATAGTACGATCCAGTGACGCACTTGCAAAAGTATTGGTGTCTTTTGGATTGATTGTCACTTGCATCACATAATGGGAATGACCCTCAAAAATTTGAGTACAATACCAGTTCTTCTCCCAATCCCAGAGCTTTATAAGCATGTCATCAGATGATGACAATACATATGGGAGGGTGGGGTGGACAGCCACACACCGAATATAATCTGTATGTGCCTCATATACCTTGACTTTATCCATTGTATTGTAATTGTATACCCGGATAAACATGTCATCTGCACCGGCAACAACCCACTGCTTGCGTGCTATGAACTTTGCTGATCTGACTGCAAAAAGGTTAAGTTAGCATCAAATATCAGATCCAAGTTTCATCAGTGTACAACCATGTGCAGCAATACATACTAGATAACAGTAATATCAATCACAAACCTGGTAACTCGGTAACTTCAAAGGACTTTGCCATAGTCTACAATAACAAAGACAGATATCAGGCTTGCATCAGACAACTATATTGAAATTTCTAATGTAAGAAAATAAAGGTAAAAAGCGTCAACTGATGTAGAAAAAGTCCGATCAAAGTATGCTATTATAACGTATCTTTTACTGGTCTAAAGTATTCTTGCATGGTTAATTTCACCATGAATCCCCAAAAAATAAAATGTTTGAATTAGTTTGGGGAGCTGATGATTTAAGCATGCTTCTCAGGAGCTGGCAAGATCACTGTATAATTTGGGACGTATTAGTTTGCTATTTAACTTTAATTCGTTAAAAGAAAAATATAAGGGCACAACATCCAGCTTCTCCATAAGTAACAATTAACGAAGCTGGTTTCTAAGTGAAGTAACAATATCTCATCTGCTTAGTTGCTAGTCAGTTTAGATGATAAGGCCAACTTAAAAAGATCAATGATCAAATTATTTTATGGACTTGTCATAAATAAGATGGCACTTCATCAGAAAGAAGCAGTTTGCATACTGTCCACGTGCAACAAAAATATGTCTTAAAGTTCATTCCACATTAATTTAAAGTAATTCTCTAGTCACCATTTCTAATATTTATTTTCCATTCAAATAAACCAATAAGACCACCCAATAGACCACATGTGTGCTCCATGTCGATAGGAATTGAATGTTCCTACATCAAATGCCTTCCTACATAACTGTTCACCAATCCTCTTTAAGAATTCCTGGTGCAGATTTGTTTTACCATATTCTTTGGTTTGAGTTCACTCAAGTATACGGAAAGAAACACAGCAGAAAGTCAACATGCACTTCCTTTTCCTACATACCCTTTATTGAAAACCAATTTATGTAGTTTTCATAWTAGGAAGCAAAAAGTCATAAGAATATGAAGTCAGACCATTCACATAACTCCATAAAAGAAACAAGTGAACTAAATAAAATTCAAGTTAGCTGTTTTGTCACCAATTTGATCTTCTTTCCATTAACTTCTGTTAGCTAGGCTTCATTATAAATCTATATACAGTCATTTTTGTCACCAACAATTTTGATYATCTTTCCCAATAAGTTCCGTTAGCTATGCTTCACTATACCAGTCTATGAATTTAGCTCCACATATAATGAGYGAGGACATAATTCCAATTTATATCACAAAAAAAAAAATTGATCCCTGAATTMTGTGTTCCTTGACTATATCCAACTGCATTTCCACATTACAGAAAAACGAAATAGCATAGGAAAAACATGAAGATATGTTTACTTGAAAAAATGCCTGCTGAACTTTATAAAAGTATATACCAAACATGTGCATTTTAGCTAGAGCTCACTCCTACTTTAAATCATTAAAATAATTCTACACCTGAGACTGGTAATCCCATATGCAGACTGTCCCTGAATACAAACTTGTGAGGATCCTGTGAGAAGATAGAAGTACCCATGTCAGTAAATAAGTAAATGTACAATTACTTCCTCACCAATTTACTTCCAGGCACAATTACCATTGAGGCTCAGGATTAAGCTATTTAAAGCAAAATGTAAGCTATAATCAATGTCGGATAATTTCAAACGAAAAGACACCAGCACCAACATACATACTACTAAAAGAGATTTACATAATTACCATGGTTCCGTTGGATGCAGGTCCACGGATTTTACTCTTTCCGATCTTTGAGCAAGCTTCCTCTATCACACACAACAGAAGATACTCATAATTATCGAATAGAAGTCTTGAAAAAAATACAAGCACAAATCAAATAACTAACAGTACCTTGATATCGAGCCTGAGAGGCTATTCCAGAGCGAAAAACAGACAGCAGAAATTGAAGTTTCAGTTAGTACATAATCAAATCGAGTTTCAACATTAGTAATGTGATTGAACAATGATAAAATTTCAATTGATCAAGGATTCAAAACCGGATCTAAATTACAACACCGGAAATTAAAAAATCAAGTACAAAAGTGAAAGCTCACCATTGTTGGAGAAGGAAAAAATAGTTAAGCTTTAAATCGGTGATTGGAATCTGAACCCTAACGTCGGAGTGAGAGATCCGGCAGGAGAAATCGGAGAAGTAGAGTCGGAATTTGAGATCCAGAGGCTCTTTGTTGTGTAACAGCACCCCTGTGATTCGTGAGCGAGGGATTGAAAGGAAAGAGGTGGGGTTTGAAGATACAAAGAAATGATTTTTTAAAATTATTTATTGCGTCATCTTTTTGGTTTGAACCACCGTCGGTTAACTGAGTAAAGCTGTCGATTTGTACGGCATAGATCAAAACCTGTTTTTATAAAGTTGTTTGATGCTGTTTATAAAAATAATTTATTGACTTATTTTAGTATGGTATTGGTAATAAATATTTTTGAGTGTTTGGATAAATAATTTATATCGGTGTCAAACCAAGAAGTTTTTAAAAAAATTAAACTCTTCTAACCTATAATAAGTTGATAATTGTTTTTGTATAAAGGCATAAATTGTTTCAAATAAGCAATCTCAAACACCCCATAATAGATTACAAATTACAAATTTAGTCCTTTAAGGATGTTAAAATTATGGATTAGATCCTCCAAACAAAATGATTATAGACATGGTCATTGTGGTTTGAACGGCTAAGGATTAAATAAATGAAACAACCCTTCATGGGTTGGTAAGAAGTCAGTTATGTTTGGGAAGATGAGAACCCAACCATATATATATATACATGGGATCATATGAGACCAAGGGTTTTTCATGAAACTCGTAAGACCAATTCTCAATCATTGGATTAAATTTATAATCTAAACATTCATAATCACAAAATTGTCACCGTGCAATTTTAGACCATTAGATCATTAGCTTATAAAGTTGATCAATGAACATAAATTGATCTTACTGGTCTCACGTGAACCCAACCCTATATATCCATATGTGTGTGTGTGTGTTCAATTGATTTTGAGATTTAATTCAATCGATTGAGAGAATTAAAGAACTCGATAGCAAGTATAGAAATTAAAAAAGAGCATAACCGACTATAATTTAGGATTATGGAAAGATGATTATATAAATAAATACATTATATAGTATTTGACAATTATATATATATAATATGTATCGGGTTTGTGGACGGGGGCGGCTAGCCAAAATTCAAACCCAATCCGAATCCAAATATCCTCCAAAAATGTCGGGTTTTCGGATTTTTGGATTTCAAAGCATTCGGATTTTGCAACCACGTCTTATTTTCAGTTTAGAGTCAGGTTTCAGACTATTCGGGGTTTACACACCCCCTACTCTGTTTATGGACTAGCTTTTTCAAACAAAATAATCAGATATATGATTAATATGGTTTCGCTTTCTTAAGTGTTGGATTTTTTTAATCTAACTTCGTTTGATTATGCACTGTTAAATCCAATACGTGAGATGCATTTATGTTATTTTATCCTTTTATTTGACGGTGTATTTAGTTACACATATTTTAATGTTGTTTGTATTAAATTGTGTAAAGAGAAAACCGATTTTAAACAAAAACCCCAAAACACCCCAATCTCCCCCCCCCCCTTTCAGTCATACGCACGTACACAATCGAATTAACCAACATCCAAACTCTAATCACTAAACTCGCTGAAATAAGTCGGTTGCAAATAAATCCAACCCAAAATCGATCTTAACCATGATCGTGGACCTTATTTGTGCTTTCTTCGTACTAGTGCACCATAGAATATGATTGTAGATTGGTGTGCGCTTCTCCAATCCCACGAACTCGAGTTTACTGGTAAATCAGATAATTCAATTGAACAATAGTACCGAGTTTAATGGTAAATCAGATAATTCAATTGAACAATAGTATGTATACAACAAATGAAGGGAAGGCCCAATTTTGAACCTAAATGGCTTAGTTCTTATGTAGTCATCGATCAGATTCAAGTGAGTAGATCAAGATGCAGTGGCGAAAACTGAAAGAAGAAGAAAATGGTGATTGGCCAGCGGATCGATCATCATGATTTTAGTGAGAGAGATTAATTTAGTTGACGGTTTGTTTGCATAATGAACCGTGTCGAAAGTGGAATATAAATGAAATTTAACCATACGTTCAGTTTGGCAGAAACTGGAATAGAACATGTCAAAAGAATTTGAATATGCCTGTTTGTTTGTTGAATATAATGGTGGTGCTGGGATGGAGGCGATAGTGGTAATTGTGGTGGCGGTGGTGGTGATTGCAGTGACGGTGACGATGGTGGTGTTCACGATGATTACGAGATAGAATGGAATCGAGTAAATATAAGAGTATAGTAGGTTTTTCTTATAAGATTGTACAAAGAAGCTGGAATTATTTGCTAGAACCTACAGAATTTACATTCTATCATATATGAAACTCAATTTTTTTTGGAAGTACATAATATTTATATACGACAAATGCAACAAATAAACTCACACACTCTTCTCACTTATAGTGATATTTGAACCCCTGACCTCATAGGAGGCCAAATGCTACGATATCGCTAGTCCAAAGACCCTTTGGTTATGAAATTCAAAATTTTCAACAAAACTTAAGAAAAAGAATCAAATGGTCAACAGAACAAAAGATTCAAATTTTTTTAATTTTCATCAGATTCCAACAAACCAAATATGATCTTAGCTTTTAATTAGAAAAGAATTGAAATCACACACACAAGTAGGTGGGAATTAGTAAATAATCCTGGGTAAACGTTCAACAACAGACCGCATAGCGCAGTGGATTAGCGCGTTTGACTTCGGATCAAAAGGTCGTGGGTTCGACTCCCACTGTGGTCGATATTTCTTTTAGATCTTTTTATATAGTAAATTATGGATTTGGTCCCTATAGTTTGGTTATAGTTACGAAATTATCCATAAACTTCATTTATTACGGATTTGGTCCTTAAAGTATGGTGGACCCCTATTGCTTGGTATTTTTTTAACAGATTCTCTACAAGAAACTGTTTATATATCGATACCAATCTCTTTCATATTAAAATAACCAATCTTTTCACCCCATTACATCTTTTAATTGTATTTCCAAGTCGATTCTGAAACCAACCATTTACCATTTTTTTTAAAAACATGTAGGGGTCGTTTACCCAATACTTATCCAATAATAGCTTATCAGTAAGATTCAAAATTTAGGGACCGTTTATCAAACACTTACCCAATAAATATTTACCGGTAAATTTAACATTATCATTTACTTACCGGGTAAGATTTTAGTTTACCAAAACGGTATCATACGAAACAATTTACCTGGTGAACGCTTACCATGCTAAGAGTCATCGTTCTCACTTACCGGGTAAGACTCTTGGTCTTTGTCTCGCTCTAATCGGGTAAGATTTTGGTTCTTACCATATTCATCTGGTAAGGTAATGTAACTTGATATTCACTTACCCGAGTAAGCGTTTGATAAACATCCCCTTACATTATGCAACAATTTATTCGATAAACGCTTATCGAGTAAAAGTCGCCTTTCTTATTTAGCAAGTAAGACTCTTGGTCTTTATAATCCCTCTTAGCTTCTTACCAGGAAAGATTCTTAATCATTGTCATACTCATTCAATAAAGTAAAGACCCAACATTGACGGATCCACAACAAAGGTGTAGGGGGCAGAGGCCTCCAACAAACCCCATGAGTCATCCACAAAAACATCAGTTGTAGGTTTATTTTAATTTTTGTTAACCTAAAATTATTAATAGGCCCAAAACAAATAAAAGATAGACCCAATTCTAATTCTTGTAATCTCACTTAGAACTCTTACTTGAAGAAATCATTACTTAATCAATTAAACTCTAATTTCTCTAACTTCTAAGTGTCATCAACCCGTTAAAAATCATTTTATTTCTCTTGTTTTGTTTGCTATAATGCTAATGAATAGGTTATTTTTATTCAATTAAAGTGGACCTTTAAGCTGAATAACCCAAAATCATATTGGTTCGAAAGAGTTTCAGAATTTTTTTGACATCCTTAAAAGGTGCCCCCAATAATAAAAGTTTTTGGATCCACCACTGAGACCCAATAAGCACTTGTCAGGTAAACATTTAGTAAACGACCATGTAGTCTCTTTACACCAAATTTGTACTCTTTTACACAAATGCCCATTTTTCTTTTCAAAAAAAAGATAACATCATGGCTTACACAAATGAGTAAATGATGGCTAATTTAGAAATTGATTTGAAAATATGGGAGACTAATGATACAAAATCAATCAGATGGTTTTAAAACCATTAAGAGAAATTTTTTTTTACCAAACAAGATTCACATCTTAACGATTTAAATGTTGCCTCTTAATGAAACTATTCAGAAGTAAACAAACAACCCCTAAGTAAATCAAATCAAACCTAACGTAACATATTTAAAAAAACTATTTTGGCGAAAAAATAACAAACATTAAGTGTTCAGAAGAGCACGACACGAAGGTAAGAAGTGTGAACTCTATAAAACAGCAAAATTCATTTAAAAAAAAGGGTCCCAAAACACCGCAAATCCTTCTCTTTAAGGAACACTGTGGAAGGATGTTGGAGATATAACGAATGACAAATAAATTTTTAACCGGAAGATGGATCTAACAAGATAGACCACACCGCCTCCACCAAAATCTATATATTCATGATTATACAAATCATATGATGATAATAAAAACAAGTCCCCTCTGTCCTGCATAAAAACACACATTCAACAAAAAATTAAGAACTCGAGCCTTATGCAGCAGCAGTCTCGGGCTTCTCCGTTTCCATAACATCGGGATTCTCATTCGGGCTTGTAGCATTTTCCGCCCCTTGAGAAGGCTCACCGGGTGCGGGTGAAGATGGTGCATCAGGAGTAGCTGCCTTTGGTGGGGCCGGCTTTGGTTTCGACATTATCGGCCTGCACGCCCTGTAAAGACGCATAAACCTTGATTTCAGACAATATTCTCGAATTTTCAAAAAGAAACAGCAATATATACCAAATGATACACATTGGGAAGGTTAGTTACTAGCTTAATGAGACACACAGCTTATTCAGTCAGTCAGGTAGATACGGCTGTTTGGAAGCAGCTTAATAATATAGAAAGTGGCTTATTCAGTAAATTTCTAGAAGAAGCCTTATGCAGAAGGCGAAGTTTTTTACAAACCTATCTTAAGAACATCCTCATTTCATCATTGAAAAAACCCTCTCAAACAAAAACATTTTCAATCTATACACACAGAATAATCCACAAAGACAGCTTTATCCATACAAGATTTGATGGAAAACCAGCAAACCCCCCAAAATGAACAACCATAAAGAAAGTATGGTCATTGGCCCAACGGTACCCTGGTAAGGGGTAGAGGTCAAGGATTCATACCTCACCAAAGGTGAAAATTGCGTGCGAGTATTTGGCCTATATAGTATAATATACTTCTAAAAAGAAATGCATGACACACCAAAGGGTCATTGACCCAACAGTACCCAAGTAAAAGAGGTCTAAGGATTCAAACCTCACCAAAAGATTAAGGGCCTTTTTGTTAGTAGCTTAATGGGACCCACAGCTTATCCAGTCAGCTATACATGACTTTTTGGTAATGGCTTAATAATATAGAAGGTCGCATATTCACGAAGCTTCCAGGGTCAAGTTTATGTAGAAAGCCAAGTTTTCTCCAAACCTGCCTCTCCCAATTAAAAAGCACATTCCTTCCATCTATAACCTTTACAATCTATACAGACAGATTAATCCATACAGGATTTAATAGAATACCAACCAAACCAAACAGACCCCAAGAGTATGCGTGAGTTTTTGCAGTATATAAATATCATATACTTTAAAAAAGAAATGCCTGGCACACCGAAGGGACATTGGCCCAACGGTACCCAAGTAACTGGCATAGCCCAACCTCTGCAGGGGTCATGGATTCAAATCTCACCAAAAGAGAGTGTGTGTGTTAGAGAGAGAGATAGTATTTGGCGTATGTAAATATCGTATACTTAAAAGAACGTGACACACAAGCTGCTAGTAAAAACATCAACCGTTTGCCTCTATACACTGAAAACTTGGGTATACCTGTCTAGTGCTTCTGCCTTTTTTCTTATATCAGATGATAGAAGAACTGGATCAGCATGCTTTGGAAGCGACTCCTGAATTTGTTTTTTCTCTCTCAACCAATTTTCCGCTTCTGAACACTCATTCAAGACCTGGATAGAAATAGCCAAGTGAGAAGAGAAAAAGACTAACAACGAAATCTCGCACGATTGTTTTTGCAACCGTTACCTTTTGTTTCTCACTCAAGTCAATGTGTTCATACTTCGGGTCAGCAGACGCTGCAGCCTGTCTGTACCAATTAACATGGGTGGCCAGTTGTTCAACAAAAGATTCTCTTTCAGAGTGCTCCTTGTAACGTTGTTCGATGGGATCACCTTGCTGCAATTGTTAAATGTGCACTTTCAGTACTTGAAGCAGATAAATAGTAACGAAAAGATGGATTGTAGGGAGCAAACCTTTTTGAGCTCTTCAAGCTTGGCAATATATACACCTTTAGTTTCATCTTCGCCATCTTCATACAACCAATCTTCGGTTTCTTGAAGCTTGGCGATAAATGCTTCTCTGTCTGCGTCCGTGACAAATTCTTGCAATTTATCATGCAACTGGAAAGCAAAGGAGCTTGTCAGTCGTATGTCCAAGTAAATATATAAGGTCAGGTTTAGAGGAAAACCGTAAAAAATGAAAAACTAAGGAACACTCTAATAACCTGCCAGGTATGCACATGTACATAACATGCACACGTGCATTAAAACCAGGAAAAATCTTCAATTACTTGTATGTACTTGTGCATACCGTACAAATGAATGGTTATGGGGGTGTTCCTTGGTTTTTCATTTTTTGGGGGATTTTCCCTTAACCACACACACACACACACTCTCTCTCTCTCTCTCTCTCTCTATATATATATATATATATACACACACACACACACAAATATTACTTACTCTGTCTCAAAATAAATATCCATCATGAAAAAGGCACACGTTTTAGAAATGCATAATTATCATACTTTTTAATTAACAAATGACAATATTACCCTTACATTGGGACGAAGGGAGTAGGAAATAACAAAATTACCTTGTTCCTCATGTCATAGACATAGGCTTCGACAGCATTCTTCTTGTCCTTGGTTTCTTCCATAATGCGGTCCTGCAAGGCCATTTCAAACTCCTTTTCCATTGCTTTCTGCAAATCTGCAGGTAGCATTCCCCCATAAACCAACTCCGAAACAGGTATGTTGGACTTTTTGACCTTTTTCTTTGTTGCTTCCACCTGCACAGAAAAATAGCAAAAAATTACTATGTCTAAATCCACAAAAGCAGTACAAGTTAATGATGCATTGCGGCCAGGCATGGTGGTAAAAACCACCAAGACAGCATCTCAACCATAAGAAGGCAAGTTGTTCATTAATAGAGATCTACTTTAATTTAGTGCAATATTTAACAATGACAAGTCTCACAAACCATGACAAGTATCTAAACTAAAAACAGTAGGACTCAGAAACTCCGTTTCACCATCATCAACATTTATGTTTACCCCAGATTGACGCACATTAATCACCCAAACTCTTGGCTACCATTACACATGAAATTCATTACCAATCACTTCACTTGACTGGTGGATGATTCATGATTAATACTATCAAAGCTTTACCATCACAACCAAGAAGGATAAAGGACTTCTAGCGGCCGAAGTGCCTTTTACATTTATGCAATAGTATAGTACATGTTTACTAACCTTAGCATCAGTCTCCATCTGGGCAGGATTGTCTCCCGTTTCTGGAGCACCATTCTCAGCCCCAGGGGCATCCTGCATATTTACATCACTTTCATTGGTTGTAGGTACATCAGCTGGAGCCTTATCCAAGTCCATCTTTGCTGCTTCTTTCGATGGTTCTTTTGTCACCGGAACATCAATATCTTCTTCTTCTATAAGCTGCGATGACAAAAAGCAATCAGAAAAGACTTGTTACAATTTTGCACAACTACGAACAACAAAGCAAAATAATTTAATTAATTTGGTATCCAAAAACCAACCTGAGCGGACTCCACAGACACAATTCCATGCAAATTCAAACGGGCTTTCACCTTGACCTTGGAACGCTCACCTTTTGTTGATTGGAAGGGGCCAATCTGCACATCATTGTCAACATAAGGGTGTAAGCAACAAACATAATTCATGAACGATTTGACAGGCACTTAGAGATCTTTTGAATCTATGAGCAAACTTTTACCGTGTAAGTACTGATCTTTGGTGGTGCCTGCAATCCACTAACATCCGCATATACCACATCCACAGTAAAGGTGCTAGATCTGTAGAAAGTCAGAGCTTTCACACTGGGGATTGGATTTCCCTTGGGAAAAACAATAGTGCTTTGTTGATTCTCTGTGTTTCCATTCTGGGAATCTTGGGCAGAACCTTTCCATGTCATAGCAATAGGAAAAGAGAAGCTCTCTTGAACCTTCAGAAATAAAATACAATCCAAATTAGGGTCTTTAATACATCACAAATTAACAATTAAAATCAAAAGTCAATCACACATCTCAAAAAGATACATAGAGAGAAAGCTAAACCATACCTGGAACTCTCTAACTTTAAAGGTAGGACTTAAAATAGCGCATTCCAACGCACAACCCTTGGAGACGCACTCACTTGCATTCATTGTACGCCTTGGTTCTTTCCCGAAGAATTCTGTCAAAATCTTGATTACTGCAGGCACCCTAGAACCGGAACCAACAATCTCCACAGCATATATATCAGCAACTGTGAGTTGAGCCTCTGAAAGAGCCTTCTCCAGTGGTTTCTTTACACGTTCTAATATTGGTGTGCTAATTTGTTCGAACTCGTCTCTCTTTATAAAACCTCTAACATCCTTGTCGTCCATCAAGCATTCAATGTTCAAAGGTGCCTCTGGATTTGCACTAAGTACCTTCTTCAGCTTTTCACATGCAGCACGAAGCCTGATGCAAGCCCTTGCATTCTGGAACACATCAATTTTGTACTCTGCCTTGAATTTTTCAGCAAAGTGCTGGAACAAAACCTCATCGAAATCTCTGCCTCCCAGGCAGCGGTCAAAAGAGTGAGCCAATATCTTCAGTTGGCCTTTTTTGAAGCCTGCTATGCAGACCTGCATGCTAGCATGCCCTATGTCGACAAAGGCAACATTGAGCTGCTCATTCTCAGGCAAGTCGGTTTTGTATATTCCATAGGCCAAAGCAGTTGCTGTTGTTTCATGCATCAATCGCAGAGGATGCAACCCTGCAATTGTAGCTGCATCCATAACAGCCCTTCTTTGAAGATCAGTGAAATAAATAGGTATCCCGATGCAGCAGTCCACAACAGCTGCATTCAAATTCTTCTCCGCTATTGTCTTCATATTTGAAAAAACCATTCCCATTACCTGGGTTGGGGTAAATGACTTTGTTTCCCCAAGATACCGTGCATGGATCAATGGGTAGCCATCAGGTCCTTCAGTCACAGAAAAGGGCAATGCCTTGAGATCCTGTTGCAGCTCGGGATCAGAAAATAAACGGCCTATCAATCGCTTAATCTGGGAGATGGTATTTTTTGGGTTCATCATACTGGTTGCGGCACCAGCTGTTCCAAGAAAACGCTGTTTTTCACCAAAACACACAAGAGCAGGAGTCTCACGCTTTGACTCATCATTGAGAACAACATCAATTCCCCTTTGCCTGGCAACTGCCACAACACAACTCTCGTTCCCCAGATCAAATCCAACTACGCTCATCTTTGCTGAGTTGTACCTTGTTTACCCAATGAGGTTACTCTATCCCGCAGGAATCAACCTGAACAACATGAAATAAGTACAAGTCACATGCAATTACGATGCAAATCCCAAGTCCCATATATGGTATTCATACATGTCATCCACTGTCTCATTATTCATCTATATAGGTTTTGAAGATATCATGCAAAATAGTTTTGTTTGAAATCTGAAGTTTCTTTACACAAGCAACACATACTATAAGAGCAAGAAACCTCTTGTATCAAAGTCATCAATTTTACATTATTAACTACTGAATCATAACCTTCCTATTTTGACCTTTCTTTCAAGACGATGAACAAACTCTTCAAACAGACTTTACGGCAAAGCCTTTAACACGTACTAAAGCCTATGATATATGCGGTTCAAATGTGTGAAACATGAAGTTGTTTTCCTTAAAAAAGATGCAATTAGCATATTCATATCAGAATCTGAACAAAACTGTTGTTGATCCCAGATAAATAGCAAACTACTTTAAAATAATATTTCCAAAACAAGAAATAAAAACTCCTTTTCAGTTCCTTCAAACTAGCACTACGCTATATACACAATCAATCATCTAGAGACTACATTGATCGGATTCAGTCACTCTTCCAAACTAATACATCAAATACAACGACAACATTCACCGATTTAGAAATAAAAAGCGGATCTTCGTTCCTACCAAAACAAACCTGCTAAATCTGTACGATTTGCAAAGGCAGAAATACTATATACCAAATCAAATCAATCAGAACTAATTGAACAGTATAACATATTTAGATTGAATCTAAGAACATAATGGTAACAACATAATAATGAATTCCGATCTGATTCATTATAGAACAGAGATCGTACCTCAGGAGGACGGAGATCGAGGAACGGCCGCCGCGTGAGAAAGAAAGAAACCTTCTGGAATTCTCCAAATACTTTGGTAAAAGCCTTTTGCGGTGGACTGGTACAAAGATGGGGGCGAGAGGCAGGCGTTTGTGTAGAATTTTTCAGAATATTATTAAGAAGAAGTGGTGGTTCGTAAACTTTGTGTCCTGAAAATGACCTTCTAGAAAGATCTTTTAAGATTTGGGCTTCTTCGATTTTTGGGCCCAATTTTAGTTGGGTTCTGGTTATAGCCCATTAAATAAATATCTCATACGTTACATTTGATACAATATTCTCTCCTAAAATTACACATTTCATTTGCATCTAATAAGATATGGAAATTTTATCCGTTAGGACGGATACTCCCGGGTATCCGACCCTAATAAGACGGGGATTCTCCGATTTGACGGGTAATAATGCGGGAACTGGGATTCGTTTTTTTTCCCTGAAGCAGGGTCGAGGATGGCATTGCCCGCCTCTAATCCGATCCCGATTAATTTTTTTATTTTAATTAATATATGTATATATATAGTGTGTGTGAATATATATATATATATATATATATAGTGTGTATATATATATATATATATATGTGTGTGTGTATGTATGTATGTAAAGGTGAATCGTATGAGAAGGAGAGTTAATGTTAGAAGCGTAAGAAGGGGATTTGGACTATTGATCACTTTTAATCTCAAACTTATCCATTAAGCGGCTTGAGACAGGGATTCGTCTGGTGTATCTCATCTCGGTACATCTCATCATAATATGCATCCAAGGGTAGTGATTTCTCACACTTATCGAGACCCAACCCTATATGTATATATGTATACATTTATTATTAAATGACACGCATACACACACACACACACACACACACACACACACACACATATATATATATATATATATATATATATAGGAGCGATCAAATGAAAATCACTCCAATTTGTAAAAACCGTAAAAACTACTCTCATCCGTCGTTAATCTTATGAAATTTTTTCATGAAATTGTTAATCTTGTGAAATTGTTTCATATAATACTTTTTTTGATGAAGTTGTTTCATATATGGTTATGAAATTGTTTCATATACTACTTAATGAAATTTTAATGAAACTGTTTCATGTATTTCTCTAAAATTAAATTAATGAAGATGATAATATCCATGATTAACACCCTATACAAAAATATGGTTAATCAACCTCTCATAATTACAAAAAAATGAACAAAATAAAAAATTATGATTGGTTGAATGAGGTTTTCACGGTTTTTACAAATTGGGTGGTTTTTATTTGAACCCACCCCTATATATATATATATATATATATATAAATATTGATCTTCAATATTAGTAATTAATATAATGATGATTCACTATAATTCTAATTTTAAAATAAATCGATTTTTACTAAACAGGTACCCAACGGGTTCCCCGAAACCGTCGGGGATTCCTTCCCCCTAAACGGGGTTGGGACGAGAGATGCATTATCTGCCCAATTAACCCCCCCACCCTTCGTCCCTAATATCTAACCAATAAATTAAGACACATTATATATATATATATATATATATATGTATGTATGTATGTATGTATGTATGTATGTATGTATGTATGTATGTATGTATGTATGTATGTATAAGATGTATTTTGTTCAAATTCACATTCTCTCTCTGGTAATGTATGTTAATGTGATTGGTGGATATAAATGAGACGTGAAAAATTAGAATAGGAGATTTTTATTCATATGTTGTATGCAATCTTACGTCTTCATGATTTTTTATGTAATCGATTATAATTGTTTTCTCAAATAAAAGAAAAAAGTATGAATCAGGATCTATTTAACATAAGATTTTTAATTTCAATCAATATGATGATGATATTGACGATTTGAAGCGATTTGTTCAAGTTCATATAACAAAACAGACGTTATCAAAAAGGTCTTTGACATAGCGGTATGTGAGTATTTGGCCTTCTAAGAGGTCAGGGGGTTCAAACCTCACCAATTGTGAGGAGGGTGTGAGAGTTTATTTGTTCAATTTGCCGTATATAAATATCATATACTTAAAAATAGTTATTTTTTGAACTCCCAATCAACATTTGCCACGTTACGATCCAGTTTTGATGAATTTCTTGCATTGATATCTTGAAATCATCGTATGGATTTAACGAGTACGTGAATATGGTAATGAAATCAGTAGGTTTAACCGTTTCCTTGTGATATTATTAGCTTTTTGTCAATTTAGCGGACTGATTAACGATTCTCATGCTCGATCCAGTAAGGCAGTAACTAGTAAATGTAATATTATCATCTTCTACACGAATCCAATTTTAGGTTAGTTTTCGGATCTTTAATTTCGTTAGTGTAAGGGGAAGTGAACCAAGTAGTGACAAATACAAAGCAACATTATTTTTGGTCATTTTACTTTGTACAAGTAAAATTTGTCAAACACTGAAAAACAACTTATCACGTTTTGGTACCGCCATAAGCTACTTCAAACATTTTTTATAAAACTCCAGTTTTACATCACATAAGTTGATAAACACATTTACAGAAAAAAAAAACATAAGCTGTTTCAAATAAGTCAATCCCAAACACCCCCATAATGGTGATATAGCATTTAACAACACGGCAAACACGTTTCATTTACAAAACCCGGTAATTGTGGAAATTGTTATCCAGACAAAAAGAGAGTGAAATGATCGTTTTCCTTTTCATCAACTATTTTACGATATCGTTTCATCTCAACGTACTCTTTCTTCAAGTACAAGTTATAATGCATGAGTTGGATCGAATAAATAGCAAGAGGGCTGTTACCAACAATTATCAACTTGTTTGTACCTTTAAAAAATATATATATATATATGGTAAAAAGACAGCGAAATAGGACAACTGGTATAAACTGTTATAGGTTACAATGCAAACCATATAATCCTTCAAACATTTTATACGTCCTCCATAATTTACGGTTAGTCTTACATTAAACTTATGTTTCAGAACTGAAAAATCAAAAAAGAAAGTTGTAAAAGTATTTAAAACCCGTCAATATCCTTAAAACTCTTCAATTTTTCACATACACCATTGAAATCGGTACATACTGGTTCACATTAACTTTAAAACTGATACATCGTATAGCCATTATTTGAAAACAATTTTTATGATGTAATATGCTTAAATACTTATAATTTTAGGTGATAACAAGTAAGGAATAAATAAACCACATAGTTGCTGTCTGATTGGTTTGAGTTTCGACTCCAGGGTAGTGTTTGATGCGCAGACTGGATGGGACGAGGTAGGACATAATTATTTGTCTTGTATTTGGTACGACTAGGACAGTACATGACGAAACTGTTAAAATGATCATATTACCCGTAAATGTTGTTCAATGTCATTTCATATCACATAATGATTGTAGATGAAAACAAATCAACCAAAATTTATTTAAATTATTTAATGTGATATCAATATTTTTTTTAACATTCCAATACCACATGTAAATAACATGCCTATAGTCTTAGGTTCAAATTAAAGTAAGAATAAAATCACTGTGTAGTCACGAAAGTTTAAATGCGGTGACTTCAAGAAACCCACAAAACAGGTGGTCGTTCTGGGATTAGTTGGCTTGCATAATAGGTTGGACATACAGGTTAATAAAAAAAATAAGAAATAAATAGTGGATTAAAGAAATGTCTTGATCAGTTCCACATAAATTGGCTTCGAATAAATAGATATAACATGGCGAAGTAAACGTCAAAGTCAGGATGGCCGAGTGGTCTAAGGCGCCAGACTCAAGTTCTGGTTCTCGCAAGAGAGCGTGGGTTCAAATCCCACTTCTGACATTTCTAAAGCCATATTTTTTATGGCGAGCCTTGATTTACATCTTTTGAATTGAATTTTTATATTCATTTGATTAATTTAGCCAAATTAGATAACATATTTTGATTTAATTTCTATTTTGGGTATCATGCTTTTAAATCTTTTATTTTGATATCTAAGATGAAGATTAATTTTAGATTAAAAAAAGACTAATTTTAGATTAAAAAAAACGTCACTAATCATGTAAACAAATAATACTGAGTTGAATACCACATCACTCACCATATCAACATGATAACCGGTTAATGTTTCAACTGATTACCCCGGTGCTTAAATGTTTAGAACTTTACATCTTAGACACCAAAATGAAAGTTTTGAAAGTATGTTACTCAAACTAGAAATCAAGTCAAAGTACGTTACTTTTTAACGCAATTTGCATTATTAATTTTGAGAGACTTTTTCAGGTTTTTAGTTGATTTTCTTTGCATTTTTCAATATTTTGGAGCATCTAACAAGTTTACCGGGTGCTTCTTTCACACCAAGAAAATATACTTATAAAAATTGATTGAATAGGTGCACGAAACTCCGCTCGGACCTTCATCGATTCGTCCTTGCTTATCGTCGTAACGTGTAACCATTTTCAAAACCTATGTTTGATTTTCAATTCTATTCAATCAATAAAATACCAACTAAACACGAGTTTAAGGGGCGGCTATCAAATGTTTACGAGGTAACTCCTTATCGGTAAAAGTTACTATTCTCACTTACCTTATCGGGTAATGATCTCGGATGAATTACTGGTAAGCGTTATTTACCAGGTAAGGCTTTTGGTACTTCTAATGTTTCTTACCAAGTAAGATTCTCAATCATTGTCTAAATAACCAAATACGAAGTTGTAAATGTAGTTGTTTGATCCGAAACTGAGAAATAACGGATTAATATGATAATGAAAGTTAACGATAAACATCAGTTGGCAAAGGTCTTAATCTCTTACACTTACCGTTTCCGATAATCTTGCATACTCTTGGATCTCACCCTCAACCGAATGAGTCGCATAAGTTGTCGGTGAATTCAGGTCTTTGGACGAGTCAAACGCTCGTACACTTCGACATCGGTTAGACCCTTTTGCATACCCATCGTTGTTGTTTCTTCCGATGGTTCGACTCTTGACACCGCAATTGGAATAATTCCCCTTTCTCCATGAACCTGGGACGACAAAAAGGCAATCAGCAAAGTCTTGTTACAATTTACCAAAATTCTAAATGGTGTTAGACATGACATGACGACATTGCTAGCCTCAAACCTTAGGAGTTAC